GTACTACTACTACAGTATCTACTACTACTACTATTACAATGACTACTACTACAACTATTACTACTACTGCTGCTGCAACTACTACATCTACCACAACTACTGCATCAACTACTACAACTACTACAACAACAACTACTCCTACTACTACTACTGCTTCTTCTACTCCTACTCGTGCTATTCCTACTACCAGTACTACTACTACAACATCTACTACAACTACTACTACTACTATTACAATGACTACTACTACAACTATTACTACTACTGCTGCTGCAACTACTACATCTACAACAACTACTGCAACTACTACAACAACAATAACTACTACTACTACTAGTACAAGTTCATTTTTACATAATAGAACCTTTAATTACCATGGCAACAGTCCTAATTTTCCCTCCTTCCTTCTTCTTCTTCTCCTCTCAGGTGATGTCTGCCGTGCGTAAACTTCAGGAGAGCGGCTTTTACTTCGGAGCCGTGAGCGGACGCGACGCCAGCGCTCTCCTCCGCGCCGAGCCGCCGGGGACCTTCCTCATCCGCGACTCCTCGGACCACCACCACTTCTTCTCTCTCTCCGTCCAGACCCTGCGCGGGATCAAAAACCTCCGAATCCACAGCACGGAAGACGGATTCTATCTCCAACGCGACCCGCTGAGCACCCAGGAGCCCCCGCATTTCGACTGCGTGCTTAAACTCATCGCTCACTACATGGGAAAAAGCAACGCCGGCGGTGGTGGAGGAGGAGGAGTCGACGGCGCGATTCCCGGTAACGGAAGACACGTTTATTTGATACACAGCGGCGGGGAGAAGGTGCCACTGGAGCTACGGCGCCCCCTGTGCGCCTCCATGTCGTCACTGCAGCATCTGTGTAGGAGAACTTTGAACAACACGAGTCTAGGGTCGAGGACGGAAAGGCAAGAGCAGATTCCACACACGCTTAAAGACTTTATGAACGAATACGACGCTCCCATTTGACGACGGGAGCGGCAAAAAAAATATCTAGAAAAGTCAAATTTGTCAAGTGAATGGGAAATTTTTCTAGCACATGTAATTAGAAATGTGCGAAAACGGGGAAAGTTTTGGGTCGACCACACCGAAAAGGGTTCACGTAAAAACATCTTCAAGTAATAACGCAGCATTTTGGATTCGTAAGTCGCAGTTTTTGCAAAGTTATTCTAAAAAATGTGTTAATTTTGCTTTGAAATAGACACATTTTTCAAAAAGTACATTGTTGTGGCCACTAGAGTAAATTAGTAAATAGATTTTAGTAGATCTGGGTATCGGTACGAAGTTGCCGATACGATACATATCTCGATGCATACGATATATTTCAAATCGATTTGACATGATTCAGTAAAAAATAAAGGCTAAATCATGGCTTTGATACTAAAATTTGTTTGTTAAACCACTTTTTGTGCAAACTAAATATGAAACACACACAATTTACTGATCAAAATATATGATAAATGAACATAAACAAGTTTCCGTCCACTAAACAAGCAGCAAAACTGTAGTTCTGTAACAAAATAATTTAGTAAAACACACCAAAAAATACTCTTGGCGATATATCGATACAGCAATCAATGATATCGATACAGTATCGTCACATTAAACAATACGATATATCGATATTTTGATATTTTTGGACACCCCTAACGCTCAGTGAGAATTGCAGTGTCCACAAGTAGTTCCGGCAACAGCCACATCACCGCTCTATATCACTGCTCTGTGTAAACAAACGCTCAACCGCTGTGGGTAGAATGCAGTAAAACGTTGAAATAACTGAAAATTTTGACATTTACAGACACGGAACGGGGTTTTCACGTTCAAAAGTGACACGTTTCAGGTTTGCGGCCGCGGTGCAAGCGCCTTAAACAACTTGCGAGCCGCGCGTTCTGCCGTTTTAACGCGCCGCTCCTCGTGGTTTAACGCTTTTGCTGCCGTCCGTGAGAATATCGTATCGTGAGACTTGGATATCGTTACACCCCTAAAATATACTGCCCAAAAAAAATACTCTTGGCGATATATCGATACAGCAGCCCACGATATCGGTACCGTGTCATGACGTTAAACGATTCTACCGACTCTGACTTCCGAATTACGTCCAGGTAGATAAATGCGTTTTAAAGCCGTACTGTGGAAAATTCTGACCAAAACAATAACATCTCCATGGAAACAAAGCAGGACCAGACCCAAAGAAGTTACGTAGCCGCTGGTTTTTGGTGGACCGCCCGCTGTAATTGTAAAGGATTAGTCAGTTCCACCGTTTTTCCCGTTTTTAAAATACTGTATATATATATTCCATCACAGGGAGCAGCCGGTGACCTCATGTTTATTATTCTAAAGAAAACACATCTATGGAAACTCCACCCTGCCTCAAATTACTTCATTAGTTGAGGATTTGTGGTTTGAATTCAAGTAATTAGTGCGGCTATTGTCCACGTATCGCCTCGTGGGGTGTTGTTTTTACACGGATCTTAAAAAACGTGAAAAACAAGAAAAATAAGTTCGTTTAAAAGAGTTTGCGGTCGTCCAAAGTCGCTCTTCTTCACTTGCCTCATGCATTCAGAGTTTATAAGAGCTTTTTGCAACTTTCATGACACCAGTGCGGAGTTTTGAGGTGAGGACTAGCATTCTAACGTGCACTTCCTGATTACTGGGCACCGAAAAACGTATTAGAATAAGAATAATTGCTCAAAAACTTGGTGAAAATGGGAAAATTTACAGTACTTTTTAAAATAAGAATGGGATAAATTGAAAGTCAAAGTGTAAAATAGTCAAAACGTAAACATTTTTTGCAAATTTGTTCATAAATTGGATAAAACTTGCGTGATTTGCGAATAATTTTATTTTTAGGCAATTATTATTCAAGGTGCATCATGTAACTTTTCTGGTTTTTCAAGGTCCGTCAAATGCCTTTTTTCTGAGGAAATGTTTTTGTTTGGTCTGGAATGTTCCGCAGTATGGCTTTAAACATTTTTTATCTTCACGGACACCAAACCAGACCAAGTTACAGGTCAGATCTGTGGAAAGGCGACGCCGCTCACAGTCAGAATGTTTGTTTTTCGAGGTGTTTTTGAGCTATAAAACCACCTGTAATTGAATAAATGTAAAGTAGAGCTGTTTAAAGTCACACCGTGGGACATTCCAGGCTGAGCAATGATACCGTATCCATGGAAACAAGCAGATGACAGACCGACAACCAAAAAGTTACACAGTGCAGCTTTAAGATGATGAGCCAGGCTAAAAAAAACCTAAACAGTATTCGAAAAAACAAGTTTAAATTTCTAGTCTGCCGCCTGTTTGTCGCCATGGAAACGTTATAGCTTTGTCCGGAATGTTCCACAGTACAGATTAAACCAACCTGTCACCATTACGGGTCAGATCTGTGGAGAGGCGTCCCCATTCACGGAAGGAATTATTGTATTTTTGAGCAACAGAAAAACACCCGTCATGAATAAACGCGAGACGGAAACGTTTAAAGTCATACCGCGGAACATTCCGGTCAAAGCAATAAGATCTCCACGGCGACAAACACGTGATAGACTTTCCACCGGAAAAGTTACACAGTGTAGCTTTAAAATGACTTGCCAGAGTAGAAAAAAACGTAAACAATATTTGAAAAACAAGTTTAAATTTCTAGTCTGCCTCTTGTTTGTCTCCATGGAAACGTTATTGCTTTGTGTGGAATGTTCCACAGTACAGATTAAACCAACCTGTCACCATTACGGGTCAGATCTGTGGAAAGTCGCCCCTATTCGCGGAAGGAATTATTGTATTTTTGAGCAATAGAAAAACACCCGTCATGAATAAACGCTAGATGTTTAAAGTCATACCGTGGAATATTCCGGTCAAAGCAATAAGATCTCCACGTGACGGACCCTCCATTGGGAAAGTTACGCAGTGCAGCTTTAATCCGCACGTATGATTTCGTGATGTGGTCGACCCCTTTGACTTTCCCCGGGTTTTTAACGGGACTTTTTCTACGAAGCAGCATGATTTTATGGATACCTCGTCTACGAAACTCGGCTGCTGCTGGCCCTAAAAAAAAAAAAAAATACACGTGAAAATGTAAAAAAAAAGAAAAGAAAAGATACCGAGGTCAAAGATGGTTGGATTTTAATTTTGTTTTTACTCGTGACTGACCCTGACGCAGAGCTGTGCCTCGTAGAAGATTACGCCGATTGGTCAATTTTAACGATAACAGGAAAAGGCAGGATCAATATTTTCCTTTTAGGGCTGACACACAGATTTATGGAGAGAAAACGGGACATGCTAAAAGCCAAGCCGGGTTTTTTACAGCTACATTTGGGAAAATTTGTACCTTTTAACCAGCGAGATTAAGAAATTCGAAATAGCGGCGTTAAATCGCTTTATTTGAGGATTTATACGGCTCAGCGTGATTAGAAAATTGACATTGAAGAGCCAAAATAACAGCGAAAATTTACAGTTTATGACAATATTGACAGGAATTCTTCTCTAAAATTGAAAAAAAAAACACTCGACAGGAAGTGCTCCACTGTGTTTTTAAACTCTACACACCTTCGCTTGAGTCATTTTCATCATTTTCAGCCAAAAAAGTAGCTGTAAATTTCAAGAAATCACAAATTAGAAGAGAGGATTTTGAGATTTTTTGAGGCTCAGACAGACTAATAATGCAGGATTACTCAAAAATATGTAAACAAAACAAAACTCCAGGTATGTTTTTGATGCGGTAACAACATTATAACGAGGTTTAAAGCCCCAAAAGAGCCAATTTTTCATAATATAAGCGCTTTAATGCTGGGACTAAAGCAGTGTGGATTACATTGTTTGACTTGGCCGCAGACTCCCAGCTTCCCGCTATTGTTGCAACATAAATTTCTTGGAGTTGTTTTTAGTTTTTTCGTACCACCACAGTCACAATATTTCTGCAATTTTTCCAAGTTATTTTGACACTGAAGCAATCCAGACCCCAGACTTAAGCTTGTTACTACATGTGAACCCAAGACACAGACTTCTTCTTCTTTTTTTTTTTTTAGTTTTTATCTGTTTGCAAAGGCCCCTTAAGGCAAAACAACACTGCAAAGAGTTAAAAATGACTTCGAAATATCCATATTGTCTTAAAGGGGAACACAGACGCAAAAAAAACACCACAAAAAAAGCATAAATATGAGTTAAAATGAGTTGAATTCAAAAAGATTATTTAAGTAGTGTTTACTTAATTAGACTGAGTAACTTATAACATAAATTTCTGAAAAATATCAATGTCTTTAAAGGTTTATCTAGTGAAATTATCATTGAATTTGAAGATATAATGCTTAATATTACCAAAAAAAGCATCGACATGAGTTAAAATGAGTTGAATTTGAAAATATTATAAGAGTAGTGTTGATTTAATTAGGTTGAGTTACTTACGATTTATATTTTTGAGTAATTTAAATTTGTCTTTAGGGTTTATAAAGTGAAATTATAGTTGGATTTGAAGATTTAAAACTTAACACTGCAAAAAAAAAAAAAAAAAAAAAAGCATAAACATGAGTTAAAATGAGTTGAATTCAAAAATATTATTTGAATAGTGTTGAATTAATTAGGTTGAGTTACTTACAACTTAAATTTTTGAGTAATTTCAATTAGTTTTCCTTATTTCAAGCAGAATTATTGGCCCAAAGAGCAAAAATACTCCACAAAAGTGTAGTCCATGGGTAGATTTAAAAAGGAAAATTGCTTAAATACAATTAATGAGTAAATAAAAATGAACATGTAGAGTTTTTAAGTAATTTTAGCTGTTTCGAGTCAGTAAATTTTGCCTTAAAGATTTAAATTTAAAAACATTTCCAATTAAAATAAAGATCCGCTGTGTAACCCCAGGAATTGGTGATCTAAAATGACAAAAGAAAGATATTACGTGTGCTTAAAATGTTCCACAGTATGGCATTAAACTGCCTTTACGTCCATGGAGACAAACTAGTTAAAAGTCAGATCTGTGGAAAGGCTTTCGCTGTAAGAATCGATGTTATTCAAGGTAGTTTTGAGCGATAAAAACATCTGAAATTGTTAAAAAAGCAAGATACTATATTTGTTTAAAGCCATATTGAGGGACATTTCAGCAATAGCAAAGCAATAACATCTCCATGGCGACAAGCAGATGACGTAACCCCACCAGAAAAGCTCCATAGCGCAATCTTTATATTAAAAAAAAAAGGAAAAAAAAAAAAAAAAGAAAAACAACTTAATATTTTTGAATTCAACTTGCTGTTTCTTGCTTGTTTAGAAATCCTCTTTTTTTTTTTTTTTTTTTTTTTTTTGCAGTGTTCTGAGAAAGCGAGGGAGGAGCGGAGGGAGAGGGGGGCAGGGAAGGGGAGAGGATAGGAGCGGGAAGCAGCATTAGAAAAGGGAAATTGAAGCAGCCGAAGTGGTCGAAACAAGGAGCTAGGAGGGAGGAGACATACTGGTATACGGCCCGGGCATTGATTGATGTCCCATATGTCCAGGAAAAGGCTCACGGGGCAAAGAGTTCAACGGGCTGGAAAAAAATGAAATTTAAAAGAGAAATATTACTCTATTATTACATAAATTAACTTTATTGATCCACAAGGAGAGTTATTTGGACACAGTAGCTCATGCATCACAATATATTATAATAACAAAGAGCAAAAATAGCAAGAGACTCATGTCAAATAAAGCGTAATTATATAAATGTATGTGTAGAAATACAATTAATACAAAAAATATATCCAATTTATATACAAGAAATCATAAGAAACAGTGTAAAAATGAACTAAATAAGGTTAAATAGTAAAATTAATGTTGGAAATGTAGATTTAAAAATACTTAACAGTGAAAAAAAGCATCCACTTGAGTTAACTTCATTGGACTGAGTTACTTATAACTTATATTTTTGAGTAATTTCAACATTTTTAAAGGTTTATATATTGAAATTATCGTTGGATTTGGAGATTTAATAATTAATATTACAAAAAAAAGCATCAACATGAGGTAAAATGAGTTCAATTTAAAAGCACTGTTTCAGTAGTGTTGACTTAATTAGGCTGAGTGAATTATAATTAATATTTTTGAGTAATTTCAATATCCTTAAGGGTTTATGTAGTGAAATTATCATTGAATTTGATACTTACTTACTAATTTCAATGTTTTTAAGGGTTTATGTCGTGAAATTATTATTGGGTTTGAAGATTTAATACTTAAAAAAAAAAAAAAAAAAGAAAGAAAACATCAACATTAACTTAATTAGATTGATTTACTTATAATTAAAATTTCTGAGTAATTTCAACGTCTTTAAGGGTTTATGTAGTGAAATTATCATTAAATTTGTAGATTTCATACTTAACACTGCAAAAAAAAAAAAAAAAGCATAAATATTAGTTTAAATGAGTTGAATTCAAAAACACAATTTGAGTAGTGTTGACTTAATTAGACTGAGTTACTTTTAACTTAATTTTTTGAGTAATTTCAATGTCTTTAAAGGTGTGTAGAGTGAAAATATCATTGAATTTGTAGATTCAAATATACTTTACACTGAAAAAAAGCATAAATGTGAGTTAAAATGAGTTGAATTCAAAAAGATTATTTAAGTTGTGTTGTAGATTGAGTTACTTAAAACTTAAAATTTTTGAGTAATTTCAATGAGTTTTCCTTATTTCAAGCTGAATTTTTGGCCCATAGAGCAAAAATACTGCACAAGAACTGTAGCCCGTGGGTAGATTTTTAAAAATATGTTGATTAAATACAAATAATGAGCAAATAAAATGAAAGCTTATAATTTTTAAGTAATTTTATCTGACATAGACAGTGTTGAGTCAATTGTTTTCAGATAAAGTGAAACAAAATTTTGCCTAAAAGATTTAAATTTCAAAACATTTCTAATTAAAATAAAGATCCACTGTGTAACCTTTCTAGTTGAGGGTCTGCTACCTGCTTATCCCCATGGTAACATCGCTTTGCCTAGAATTCTCCGCAGTATAGCATTAAAATCATCTATTATGCGTGTGTTTCGATCGCTAGAAAGTTCTTGAAAATCACGCATTCTTTCTGTGAGCGGGTTCACCCATCCGCAGATCTGACCTGTAACTCGGCTTGACAGATCGCGTCGCCTTCCCGTCCCCGTGGAGATACGTAAATACGCTTAATGCCTCACTGTGGAACATTCCAGGGAAAGCAATAACACCTGTAGTTTGACGCTCCATCGATGAAAACGTTGCTAAAAAAAAGAAAAACCTGGCTTGGCTGTTTTAGCGCAAATTTCTCTCCTCGAACAACAACGACGACAACAGAAAACATTTCCGTAAGAACTAATAGAAAAAGAATAAAGACGTTTAATATTTTTTAGATAACTTGGTTGTAAAATTAACTGGAAATAATCTCTATCACGTACGTAGCCAAGTTAATATACGTTTTTTTTTGTCCAAATTAACTATAAAACAGATTTTTGTTATTCGCTGTATGTGTGAAGTCTTAACAGTATCATGTCTCTGAATGTGGAGTTCTCCAAGTTTAGTTTTTTTTTTGAAATGCCTTTTTTTTTGAGAAATTAAACAGAAGCTAAAGAGGTTTCAATGGACTGGACAATGTACGAATACGTTTGTTTATCAAGGATTTTGCGAAGCTGCGAAGAAAACATTTTAATTCTAATCAGATTAACGCAATTATTTGATACACGTTTTGGTCATTTTGTGTTTTAAGACAAATTTCTGTCTTTCAAAATCAAGCAATACACGTTTAATTAGCACAGAATAATTAATTTCCCAACAATTTTTCGATGTATCACACGTTGAATATTTTTTGAGTGGGAAATTTCAATGGACGTTTTTCCGAACAACCGGAAGTGCCGCGATGTCGGGTAAACGTAACTCCCGGTTAAAGCTTTTCTACGGCAAAATATCTGTAGAAATGTCTCACGTTTTTTCCACCAGCTTCATAAATCTGCAAATCTTCAACCAACAAATTCTGTTCATGAAGAATTTATCCACAACTACTGAGGTAAGAAAGACGAAAACGTAAAGGAGAAGAACGACGACGACGACGACTGAACAAAACTAACGCTATGGTCACGAATAAAACAGAAGTAACTTGTGAACTGAGACTGGTTCAAGAATTAAAATTAAAAATCCATTTCATGATGTCGATATCGGCACAGACCCCGTTTACGCTGAAACTAATCCGCGTATCAATGTATCGGAAACGATCTGCGTCCACACACGTCGTTTCTGTGTCCGTACGTCTTCCTTATCCACACAACTTTGAGCACATTTGTTTACATTTTACAGGAACAAAACTTAAAACCACCTGACTCATTTGCATAAACTGAGCGCTCAAAAAAACAGCTCGCTCCTTGTGCGCTGATGCGGTTCATAGTCCGATTCCTTATATTCACTTTTTAACCTTAGTGGGAATTTTTGGGGGATTTGCTGAACTATATATTTTTGGAAAGGTTCACCGCATGTGATGTGTGAAGTTTATTGATGTTTATAGTTTGTTCTACCCATATTGTTGATGTATTTCAACAGGATAATAAAAAAAGAACATGTTTTTAGAGGAACATGGAGTATTACATGCGGATATTACAGTGAAATTACAAGAAAACAACCAAACCGGGTCATTTTTTTTTTACCTACTTATGCATCTAAGGGTTAATGTGAGTAGGTCTTAGAGTCTTTGTAACTAGCACCATTTGACTCCCTGACCCTGAACATGTGGGTTTAGCACTTAAAATCAACATTTCAACTCAATTCAGAGGCTATAGACATCTGGGCAAATGCAAACACTGATTTTCTGACTCCATATACTATAACCTTTCCAAAAATATATAGTTTAGCAAATCCCCCCCCCCCAAAATTCCCGCAAAAGTATAAAAGGAACCGGACTATCAGCTTCTGTTGCACTAAAGGACACGACTCAGTGGAATATGAGTGTTGTTTCTGTGACAGAGGGGTGTTCTGCTGATGGTGAGTCTGTTCTGTGTTTCTGTCGTGTTGGAGATGGTTCATGTGAAACTTTTCAGAGATTATCAATCAATCAATCAATCAATCAAACTTTATTTGTATAGCACTTTTCATACATTTGAAATGTAGCACAAAGTGCTTCACATGCAACAGAAACATTTTTAATACATTAATTAACACCCCCCCCCCATACCACAATTTAAACAGAAACATAAAAACAAAAAAAACTAATAAACATAAAGCTCTTAAAAGTTATAGTAAAATTAAAAGTGTATAGCTAAGACCAGATGGAGACAAAATAAAATAGTAATGATAATTTAATTTAAAACTACCATAATAATAACAATAATAATGATAATTGAAGTTAAAACAGGTAAAAGTTTCAGTTAAAAGCTAAATTAAAAAGATATGTTTTAAGTTTACTTTTAAAAATATGAACACTCGCAGCGGACCTCAGATCCTCAGGCAGACTGTTCCACAGACGGGGGCCGTAAAAGCTAAAAGATGCCTCACCGTGAGTTTTAGTTTGAACTCTTGGGACAGTTAAAAGAAGATTACCTGAGGACCTGAGAGTCCGAGAGGCTCATATGATAAAAGCAGATCAGATAAATAAATAGGACTAAGACCATTAAGAGCTTTATAAACCAATAAAAGAACTTTAAAAATTATACGTCTGCAGGTCGACACACAGACACACGTTTATATGAATGGACAAATATTCTCGCCTCTTAGTGTTTTGGCGGTGAATTACTTCGCGGCGCACAGATCTACATCAGAGTATCAGTGTTTTCAGGCGTCCACACGGCGCCGGATCAGATCTATACTCGGATGAATTCGTGGGAGCTGGCGGCACCAGATCGTTCCGTCTCTGGAGCCGTTTTCAGTCGGATTAGTGCGAACGAACACTGCGTCCGCGACTCGAATACGAACTAGTGTGGACGTGCGTGGCGTGCAGTTTAAATGTTAGACATGTATCTGTGAACATCTGTAGCATTTAAACTGCACAAATCTCTCTATCTATGTTAATATCGACATCATGAAATCGATTTTTAATTTTAATTCTAGAATCAGTCTCATTTCACAAGTTACTTATTATGAATTACGTATTAATTATGTTTTATTCATGACCATAACATTAGTGTTGTTCAGTAGTTCACCAATGCGTCGTCGTCGTTCGGTCTTTAAGTTTTCGTCTTTCTTCCCTTGATAGTTGTGGGTAAATTCTTCATGTTAGAATGTTTATCCTTTGTGGACCTTGTTCGATGAAGATTTGGTGAAGGTTTGGAAAAAATGACGCACATTTACACAAATATTTTGCCACAGAAAACCATCGACCGGATGTTACGTTTACCCGACATCGCGGCACTTCCCGACTTTGTGAAAAACGTCTATTATTGGCATTGCTTATCGTCAACCATTTTAGTTTTTAGTTTTGTTTTTAGATAAGTTTAGCTTGAGTTTCCACCAAATTACATAAAAACTAAAAAACTTAATCTTCATTTCAAATTTTTGTGTAATTTTAAAACTAAAAAAATTTAACATGGCTGCAGCGTAATGTAACTTCAGTAAATTTAAAAAATGTATTTTGAAACCCATGTTATTTGTTTCCATGACTTAATTATCAAAAAAATACACATTCAAAAAGGTTGTGGGTTCAAATCCCAAACTCATTCTGTACAAATTTCGTCAAAAATCTTTCTTAATGTCTCAAAATCCTGGATACACAAATACGTTGTTCATGAAAGGGTCGATATTACGCCATGTTCTGTTCTAATGTTGTTTCCTCGTCTTCTGTGAAAGTAAAAACACTCTGCTCCACCTTGTGATGTCACGTGGTGGTACAGGAAGTGCTCCACTGTGTTTTTAAGCTCCGCACAACAGAGTTTCTTCGCTAGAATCGTTCGGATCATTTCAGCCCGAGAATTGCCAATTTCTACTAAACAAAAAAGTTAAAATGGTAGATGTTAACTTGAAAACGACCACTTTATGACATCACAAGGTGCAGCAGAGCGATAAAGAGTTGCTCAAACACGTGTGAATGAAAAAAAAAACACAACTACAGGTTTGTTTTCGAGGAGGAAACGGCATTATAACATGATTTAAAGCTCACAAGAGTCATTTTTTTGTTTTGTTTTTTGCGTAATATAGAACCTTTACGATTTAAATCAAGTTTAGTGATTTTTTTTTTTTTTTTAATGCCTTTTCTTACACCATTTCGTGACCTGGATTTGACGGAAAATTGTGCTTTTATTTGTATTCTGTATGTTCTCATGTTAACCTGTGAGTATATCGTAGAGGAGCTAGAATTCTTGGTGTGACGATTTGTAAATTTCTTTGGTCAAATTTTGAAATAGTTTTTGTTTTTGACCACATGTTTGTAAGTCGTTTATGTCTTTCATAAAGACGTCTGGCAAAAAATACAAGCTGTAAAATAAATCTCAAATGAAAAAACAAAAACAGAAAATAAATGAAAAAGGAACGTTGCACATTTATATTTATATTTCTAAAGTATTTCAATAATTTATATTAAAGAGCACTATTTTTACAAAAGTCACTGTCCTGTGTCCCGTGTGTTTTTTTTTTAACTGTAAATATAAGTAACAAGAAAAGTAGTAGTAGTAGTAGTAGAAATAGTAGTAGTAGTAGAAGTAGTAGAAATAGTAGCAATAGTAGTAGTAGTAGTAGTAGTAGTAAGAGTTGTGGAAGTAGTAGTAGTAGAAGTAGTAGAAATAATAGCAACAGTATTAGTAGAAGTAGTAGTAGTAGTAGCAGTAGTATTAGTAGCAGTAGTAGTAGTAGCAGAAGTAGTAGTACTAGTAGAAGTAATAGTAGTAGTAGTAGAAGTACTAATAGTAGTTACAATAGCAGCGGCAGTAGTAGAAATAGAAGTAGCAGCAGTCGCAGTAACAGTAGTAATAGTAGTATTAGAAGAAGTAGTAGTAGCAGTAGTAGTAGTAGTGCAGTGTAGTAGAGGTCATAGTAGTACTAGAAATAGTAGTAGTAGTTGCAGTAGTAGTACAAGTAGCAGCAGCAGCAGCAGTAGTAGTAGTTGTAGTAGTAGAAGTAGTAGAACTAGTCATAGAACTACTAGTAGTAATAGTAGTAGTAGTAGTAATAATAGTGACAACAGCAACAGTAGTAGAAATAGTAGTAGTCACAGTAACAGTAGTAATAGTAGTAGTATTCGAAGAAGTACTAGTAGCAGTAGTAGTAGAAGTCGTAGTAGAAATAGTAGTAGTAGTAGTAGTAGTAGTAGCAGCAGCAGCAGTAGTAGCAGTTTTAGTAGTAGTAGTAGTAGAGTAGCAGTCGTAGTAGTAGTAGTGGTAGTAGTAGTAATAGTAGCAGTAGTAATAGTAGTAATAGTAATAGTAGTAGTAGTAGTAGTAGTAACAGTAGTAAATGTACAATACTAATGTCTTATTCAAGATACCTGAGATACATAAATCACTTTACAGAACATTATTCATTCACTTCTTCTGTTGCCACAGCTGCCCTGGGACAGACTGACAGGAGTGAGGCTCCCAATCTGTCCCATCGGCACCTACACACACACACACACACACACACACACACACACACACACAGGTTCAGTGGGTTAAGTGTCGTGCCCAAGGACAAAACAACAGAATGTACAGGTCTGAGTAGGAGTTGAACCGCTGACCACTCACTCACTCACTCGGCAAACAGCAAAGGGCAAAAACCAAACAGCGGCTGATAGAAGCTGTTGAAGAAGTAGTGCTAGTACTAGTTGAAGTAGCAGTAAAAGTAGTAGTAGCAGTAGTAAAGTAGTAGTAGTAGTAGCAGTAGTAGTAGTAGGAGTAGTAGTAGTAATAATCGTAGTAGCAGGAGTAGTTGTAGAAGCAGTAGTAGTAGTAGCAGTAGTAATAGTAGCAGTAGCAGTAGTAGTAGTAGGAATAGTAATAGTAGTAGTAGTAGCAGTAGTAGTAGTAGGAGTAGTAGTAGCTGTAGTCATTGAAGTTGTAGTAGTAGCAGGAGTAGGAGTAGTAGTAGTTGTAGTAGTCATTGTAGTAATAGTCGCAGTAGCAGTAGTTGTTGTGGTCAAGATAGTAGCAGTTGTAGTAGTACTAGTAATAGTAGTCATAGTAGTCATCATAGTAATAATCGTAGTCGCAGTGGTCGCAGCGGTAGTAGTAGTAGTAGTAGTAGTAGTAGTAGTACTACTAGTACTAGTAGTACTAGTAGTAGTAGTAGTAGTAGTAGTAGTAGTACTAGTGCTACTAGTACTACTACTACTACTACTAGTTGTAGTAGTAGTTGTGGTCATGGTAGCAGTAATATTAAACGGTCAGATTTTTACAGTGCACTTTTGTCGATTGTGGGATTTGAACCATCAACCTCCTGAACCTTCAGTGGACAAACCCTCTGCACCTGAACCTCTGACACACAAGTACAACCATGTGGGACAAATATCGGTGTGAGATCAATCGGTGTTGGAATAAATCGATGTGGAATAAATCGATGTGGGATAAATCGATGTGGGATAAATCCATGTGGAATAAATCGGTGTCGACTAAATCGGTCTTGGATAAATCGGTGTGGGGATAAATATCGGTGTGGGATAAATCGGTCCATGTGGAATAAATCGCCGTGGGATAAATATCGGCGTGGGATAAATATCGGCGTGGGATAAATATCGGGGTGGGATAAATATTGGCGTGGATAACTCCATGTGCGTCCTTTCCCTTTTCCCTTTTCTCTGTGTAAATATTGCTGTGGACAGAGTTTCGGTAAATGATGTTTGACGTTTGGTTTGTTTTGGTCAAACGGAGTTTCCGATAAATAAACACACGACTCGGCCTCTTTCACCTTTCAGTGATTTTTGATGTTTAATGTCACTTTGTGGGGAAATAAAACACACATGTTATTTTAAAAACACTAATCGACGTGTGAACCGACGAGGTGTGTCAGGATGATTTAAAGACGCACTGTGGAACTTTTCCTGGGGAGAGTATTCCACATACTTCAGTCTGAATATAAATGTACTTTTAGTCTCCATGGAAATGTACTGTGCTTATTTTAGCCTGGGATGTTTCACAATAAGGCATTAAACTTTTCTATCTCCATGGAGACAAACAGGCCAAGGTACAAATGACACAAGAATGCATGTAGTAGTAGTAGTAGTAGTAGTCATAGTAGTAGTAGTAGAAGTAGTAGTTGCAGTAATAATAGCAGGAGTAATAGTTGCAGTAGTAGTAGTAATAGCAGTAAAAGTAGTAGTAGTAGCAATAATAGTAGTAGTAGTAGGAGGAGGACTAGTTGCAGTAGTAATAGAAGCAACAGTAGTAGTAGTTGTAGTAGTAGAAGTTGTAGTAGTTGCAGTAGCAGTAGTAGTACTCATAGTAGTAGCAGTAGTAATAGTAGTAGTAGTAGTAGTCGTAGTAGGAGTCATAGTAGCAGTAGTAGTAGCAATAATAGTAGTAGCAGTAGCAGTAGAAGTAGTATTTGCAGTAGTAATAGAAGCAACAGTAGTAGTAGCAGTAGTAGTAGTAATAGCAGTAGAAGTAGTAGCAGTAGCAATAATAGTAGTAGTAGTAGTAGGAGGACTAGTTGCAGTAGTAATAGAAGCAACAGTAGTAGTAGTAGTAGTAGTAGTAGTAGTAGTAGTAGTAGTAGTAGTAGTAGTAGTAGTAGTAGTAGTAGCCGTAGTAGGAGTCATAGTAGCAGTAGTAGTAGAAGTAGTAGTTGCAGTAGTAATAGAAGTAACAATAGTAGTAGTAGTAGGAGTAGTAATAGATGCAGTAGTAATAGAAGTAACAGTAGTAGTAGTAATAGCAGTAGTAGTAGTTGTAATAGTAGTAGTAGTAGTAGTAGTAGCAGTAGTAGTAGTAGTAGTAGTAGTAGTAGGTAGTAGTAGTAGTAATAGCAGTAGTAGTAGTAGCAGTCGTAGTAGCAGCAGTAGTAGTAGGAGTAGTAACATTTGCAGTAGTAATAGAAGTAACAGTAGTAGTAGTAATAGCAGTAGCAGATGCAGCAGTAGTAGTAGTAGTAATAGCAGTAGTAGTAGTAGTCCTAGTAGTTGCAGCAGTAATAGTAGTAGTAATAATAGTAGTAGTAGTAGCAGTACTCAGAAACTTTTGACTGAAGTGTAAACACATTTTTAAACTAAATTGTTCAGTTCAAAGTCATTGTTCATCATTAACTCGCTCTAAAGTGTTTCTGTGTAAAATGTGACACGAGTGACAGGAGAATTCTAATCTGTGAAACTCTAAACTGTGTAATCAGCACCTCGCACTCGCCTCCCGGGGGATTGTGGGTAAATTCCACAGACAAACGCCGATCGTAGAAAACAGGGCGGAGCCGGAGCGACGAAACGATTCCCACGAGAAAGAAAGAAAATGATGCAAATAATTACCGCGAAAACAGGTTTAGAAGTGAGGTAAAACTAAAAGTATCTGTGTTTTTGTAGATGTAGTATAAGTAGTAGAAGTACAAGTACACATGCATCCGGAATTTCGAACTTCCGGTCATCGCGCAATCCATACTGACAAGGATCCTCCGAAAAAGTGAGCATCAAACCTCCATGTTTGTTTTCCCAGTGGGATGCGTCTCTTGTCAAAGTCGATCTTTTCAAGTCTTTTGAACCATATCACTTTTGTTTCTGGTTCTGATATTGTCATATTTTAGTTTTGGGATTCGGACATCGTAATTGTTGTGGTTGTTGGATGTTCTAACAGCGGAAAACGGGCTTCGGAAGTTTGCGAACTCCATAACTTTAAAAAGGAATCAGATCTGCAAACCGCCCCAGTGCTGCAGGTCCTGGTTTGATCATCTCCAAACAGCAGAGATGATCCTGTGGTCTCCAAACCGCACCCCCTCCAGCTCCTTGACTGCACCTAGAAATTCTGTCCATAAAACCAATGAACAGACTCGGTGACAGGGGCGGCCCTGGCGGAGTCCAACATGCACCGGGAACAGGTCTGACTTACTGCCGGCGACGAACACAGCTCCTGCTCCGATCACACAGGGACCGGACCCCAGACTCCCAGAGCGCCCCCCACAGGACACCACGAGGGACAGGGTCAAACACCTTCTCCAGATCCACAAAGCACATGTGGACTAGACAAACCACATGAACCTCGATGGAGAGTGTAGAGCTGGTCCAGTGTTCCACCGCCAGGACCAAAACCACACTGCTCCTCCTGGATCCGAGGTTTGACCATCAGCCGGATTCTCCTCTCCAGTCCCTGGAATAGACCAGAGAGACTGAGGAGTGTGATTCCTCTGTAGTTGGAACACACCCTCCAGTCCTCCTTCTTAAACAGAGGGACCACCACCCCGGTTTGCCAGACGCAGTGTTCCCCAGAGGCAGAAGGCGAAGCTCTCGATTTACCGTCAGTCTTTGTTCCTCCACTCACCTCTGGTCATGAGCTCTGGGTAATGACCGAAAGGACGAGATCACAGATACAAGTGGTTGAAATGAGTTTCCTCTGCAGAGTGTCTGGGCGCTCCTTAGAGACAGGGTGAGGAGCCCGGTCACACAGGAGGAGCTCGGAGTAGAGCCGCTGCTCTTCTAAGTCAAGAGGAGCAGCTGAG